ATCTTACAAATAAAAGCTTATTGTCGCGCATTCAGACGTGCTGTATTTCTGAGATAGATCAACCTTCTGGGTGTTTTCTCCTTTACTTCTCTTAGTCAGCTTTGATTGCCACATATTGTGACTCAAGAGCATCATGCGCTACATAGATTTATTCTTCTCAAACTGTTGTGAGTGGCAGAGATGTTCCGAATGGGTGGAACAGTAGCTAATAATACTTAGGCACTTTGTGGTTGAATGATCATTCCCAGGGTAAGTTTAAAAACGGTCTCTATCAGGCTCTTTGCTTTCAGTATTCCATGTAAACTATACCTCCTGTTATTGTTGTTAATGACGTTTGCCGTGGTATTTCTAGACCCAAGCAGAATATTCAGTTTAGCCTGACTCATTATTTGGAATTTTCAGAAGCAAAAAACTTGTGACAGTTACAGTGGTGTTAATCAGTATCATCTTTGTAGCACCCCATGACTTTCTTTCCAAAGGGTTTTATTTGTGAGTTGGTGACTCCTGAGTGCCACCATCCACCATCAGCACCACCCTCCTCTGCTGGCAGCGGACGCAGGTGGCATGGCACCGTTTGATCAGTTGTTTCCAGTGAGAAGCTCCTGTTATGCAGCATGCTTGGAGAATTAGGCCGTAACAACACTTCAGGCTTCTGAGTCAGACCCGGAGATAGTGGGAAAGGCTTGTCTGAAGGCAGCAAGGCCTCAGGGTCACCTTTGTGCATGCTCTTGTAGTGTCCAGAGTGGACAGCCAGTATACATAGTGCATAGTTGTCCTGATGGATTGTTTTCTTGGAATTGGACATTTATGTTCCAGACCTGGCTTTTTAGTTTTTGGCTTGGCCGTGTTCCTTGGGTTGCAGATTTCACTGTATCTGAAGTCTCAGAGTACTGAGGCTCCAAGGATGCTGCAGAGAAGAAGGTGAACTGCAGTAGAGGCAAGAGGTAGGTAGGACAGAGGATTTTGTCAGGGGAGATGGGAAGGAAGAAAATGCATCTGCTGCACACTGCTCTGCAAAGCCATGCCTGGCCTGGGTCGGGAGGCAGAAGGCAGCGAGTGCCCGGGTTCTCTGTGGCAGAGGCAACGCGTCACCCTCTGGTGCCTGTCAGGTGGTGTGCGCTGTCACTGGTGATAGCTCAGTGGAGTTCTACCCCCACCCTGACTTCATCAGTGTATAACCTGCAGTTAGGATAATACTGTGTTGTCAGTGCAAATAACTGGAATCTTCCCTGGTATGATTAGCACACTCAAGTTCTGTCATTCTCTTGGTTTTAAAGTTCCACAGAAATTACTAGCTATTTAATATTATTATTATATTAGTTCACTTTACACTAATTTTATAGAGAAATAAATACTTTTTAAAAGATGTTTTCCAGCAGCCTAAGCATGACTGCATGATTGAGCCTTAGTGTCTTATTTTGAATGCCATTTCAACACTTCAGTCTTAGTTAATTTGAGAAATCAGGGTTCAGATTTCCTAAGCAGGCAGTGTATCAGCTCTTGTGTTTTCCTCAGATTAATTATTTTGCAGTGTGATTGTTGTCTGTACTTTCGGCCAACCATGGCCTCAAATAATTTGAGAAGTAGGTGTTATATTTCAAAAAAGAGCCAACAGGAGTCTTGTTTTCCCCGTGCGTGAGGCAGTGGCCCAGGGGAGCGTGAGAGCTGTGGCAGTGCCAGGGCTGGCCTGGGCTTCAGAAGTAGCAGTGAAGCAGCAGCGGTTTGTTCTGTTTTATTCAAAATTCTATATTCAGATTCTTAGCAGAGATGAATAAATATTTTCTCTTCACTTTATATAAACAGAAATAATTTTTAGGGATGGGCAGGCTAGCTCATACCTACAAATCTCAACACTTTGGAAGGTCGAGGCAAGAGAATCACAGAGGCCAGGATTTTGAGACCAGCATGGGCAACATAGCGAGACCCCCATCTCTATAAAATAAAAAATAAAAAAGTTAGCTGGGTGTGGCGACATGTACCTGTAGCCAGCTACTCTGGAGGCTGAGGTGGGAGGATCAGTTGAACCCAGGATTTGAGGATGCAGTGAGCTATGATTGTGTCACTGCACTCCAGCCTGGGCAACAGAGTGAGACCCTGTCTCTTAAAAAAAAAGAAAAAAAAAGAATTTAAAAATAATCCTTTGTCTTTAGAAGTAGAATTCACAAGCCAGGGTAATAGTTGCCTTTAATCATACAATTAAGTCTTCACGTACACTCTTTTTTTTTTTTTTTTAAATACAGAGTCTCAATCACCCAGGCTGGAGATCGGTGACACAAACATGGCTCACTACAGTCTTGACCCTGGGAGGTCAAGGTCAAGGAGATCCTCCTACCTCAACCTCCCAAGTAGCTGGAACCACAGGCACTCCCCACCATGCCCAGCTAATTATTATTATTATTATTATTATTATTATTATTATTATTATTATTTTGTAGAGAGGACGTCTCACTATGTTTAAGAATTTGGGCTTCTTAATGGTGTCTTGTTTCAGGACTGAAAATGTGAGAAGCTGCTTTTACTTTTGAGCACAAAGATTGGTTTGGCTGGAGGATTTCTTTGGTGTAGGAATTGCTTAAAATGCCCAGGCTGGTCTCCAACTTTTGGCCTCAAGTGATCCTCCTGCCTTGGTCTCCCAAAGTGCTGGAATTATAGGCATAAACCACCACACCCAGCTCCTTTTTCTGTTGTATTAGAACATGCAACGTATCAGATGATCACACTCTAGGAGAATTTCTGAACCAAACATTGGCTGATTTAAACAGGATTCACGTCCCCCTGTGAGACAGAAAGCTAGTTTCTTTTTTTTTTTTTTGAGATGGAATCTTGCTCTGTCCCCTTGGCTGGAGTGCAGTGGCACTATCTCGGCTCACTGCAAGCTCCGCCTCCCGGGTTCCCGCCATTCTCCTGCCTCAGCCTCCTGAGTAGCTGGGACTACAGGCGCCGCCACCTCGCCCGGCTAGTTTTTTGTATTTTTTAGTAGAGACGGGGTTTCACCAGGTTAGCCAGGATGGTCTCGATCTCCTGACCTCGTGATCCACCCGTCTTGGCTTCCCAAAGTGCTGGGATTACAGGCTTGAGCCACCGCACCCGGCCAGAAAGCTAGTTTCAAGGGGCCCTCAGAAATCCTGCATGAGTAAAGTGAAACAGTGAGGAAAACTGCCCCCCTTCTCCCCAAAAGGCTTGGGACCGCTGGCCCAGACAAGCTCCAGGTTCTGCTCTGGTTGCCTTTTTTTTTTGAGATGGAATCTCGCTCTTTGGCCCAGGCTGGAGTGCAGTGGTGCGATCTTAGCTCACTGCAACCTCTGCTGCCCACGTTCAAGCAGTTCTCCTGCCTCAGCCACCTGAGTAGCTGGAATTATAGGCACCCGCCACCACACCCGGCTAATTTTTGTATTTTTAGTAGAGACAGGGTTTCACCATCTTGGCCAGGCTGGTCTTGAACTCCTGACCTTGTGATCCACCCGCCTTGGCCTCTCAAAGTGCTGGGATTACAGGCGTGAGCCGCCACGCCCAGCCTCTTGTTGCTTTTTCAGTGATGAGACGTTTAGCACTTCACCAAGTGTTGGATATGCTTTGGTTTGGGTGATGCTAAGGTTGTAGAAATGTATTAATCTTAGCATATTTTAAGGCCCTGTCATTGGTATATTAGCCGGCATGGTGGTAGCTGAGGTCTGTGAGGTAGGATGCTCACTCGTAATGGTTCCTTTTTACTCTTTTGAGCTGGGTTCTCGTAAGTTGTTACTGACTTTCTCACCTTTATGTTTGAATAGGAGAGAAGAAAGCTTGTTAAGTCAGTGTTTTCTCTTTCAGAAAAGTAAAAGTTGGTATCTATAAATGTGTGTATATGTGTTTAGTTTGTCATTGATTATCTCTTGAAGAAAAGAGTTGCATATAGGCCTGGCGTGGTGGCTCACACCTGTAATCCCAGCACTTTGGGAGGCTGAGATGGGCAGATCACCTGAGGTCAGGAGTTCGAGACCAGCTTGGCCAACATGGCAAAACCTCATCTTTACTAAAAATACAAAAATTAGCCAGGTGAGGTTGTGGGCGCCCATGGTCCCAGCTACTCAGGAGGCTGAGGCAGGAGGATCGTTTGAACCTGGGAGGCGGAGGTTGCAGTGAGCTGAGATTACACCACTGCACTCCAGCCTGGACAACAGAGCAAGACTCTGTCTCAAAAAAAAAAAAAAAAAAAAAAAAGAAAAGCATATAAAATCTTTTGATGTCTTCTGCTATTTTCCCTATGACAATTTAAAGAAAAAAAAGTCAGAGGACCATCTGCCTCTAAAAGGACATTCCATGTGGCCTTTATTTCCAGGTGTTCTTTTCTGATTCATCGTGTACTTCCTACTGGGCAGTCTACTCTCATAGGCAGCAGTTTTGCAAGCTTTTTAGAGTTTAATTAAGGCAAGCTTTACAAAATTTAAGTGTTTTCACTTTCATTTTAGTGGCACTTGGAGATTTAGTGTTATAATCCAGACGAAACTCATATTTTGCTTAAACACTTTCTAAAATTTTGAAATGTTACATAAAATTAGTATTGATTTAGTGGATTATTACCCATACTTACAGCTTTGAAGAGTAAATATTGTATAGTTATTTCCTGAATTTATGTTCCTATTCTTTAGAATTTGGGCTTCTTAATGGTGTCTTGTTTCATGACTGAAAGTCTGAGAAGCTGCTTTTACTTTTGTTGGGCAGAAAGATTTGTTTGGCTGAATTTCTTTGGTGTAGGAATTGCTTAAAATCCCAAGTCATTCACCTTCCAGAAGCAAAGCCCTCCGGTTATCTTTGTGTAGCCTTCAAAGAGAAATGAGATGCTTCATTTTAAAAGGCCTTGATGTAAAAATGTGTTTCACCTTTTTTTGGTAAATGTGTTGATGGAAAATCCTCTCAGTTCTCAAGATAATTTGCACTAAAGTGCAAAAATACTTTCCTCTGTCAAGTATTTGCAAATGGTTTCAGTGAATGTAATCTTATTTTTTTCCAACTATTTTCAGAGTAATTCTTCAATCCAGTGTTCAGAGCTGTAAAACATCTGAACCTAACATTTCTGGCAGTGCAGGCATTACTAAAAGAACCACCAGATCTGCTTCAAGGAAAAGCAGTGTTAAAAGGTGAGAAAAGAATCCTACTCTTCTGAAAAGTTGCAAGCATTGGCTTTCCAGTTTAATATTTGGACCCTACCTCTGAAGATTGACATGAAATTAGGAGAAAGTAGAGTCTGTGTGTTACTTGTTCATTATCTAAGAAAATCTGGACCATTTTAATGTAGGCTTTTGTTTTGTATTTCAGAAGTAATTCTCGACACTGGAAATATGGTCTCTGGGTCATGATATGGGAAAGTTTTTAAATTAAGAATTTCCAAAGCTGGCTGTCAGGACGTGGAGGACATCATTCTAGGTGCATATCAGACACAGCATCATTGCTGGACGATTAGCTGAAATGAGTGTGATGGTGGACGTGGGATAACTCTAGAGAGTTTGAGGATCCTTCTCTGCCTAGTGACTCTTTGTCCTCTTGGCCACAGCCCACACCCGAGGCACTAGTTCTTTCACTGTCAGCACTGTCTTCAGTAAGTGGAGGCAAAATTTCTCAAAACCAATGTGTTCTGTGACCACGTCGGTGACTCTGTTGTCTTTGGATATTTCTCATGAAGTAGACATGTCATTTTTAAAGTTTTCTGATGACAGATCCCATCTGAGGAGAGAATAGATAGCCCAGGAGTGGAAGTGGGGATAGATGGCTCAGGAGTAGAAGGGGGCATCTTTTCATCTTTGCCTGGTGTTGGCTGCCCATGGAGCCCTGTTTCTGTTCTCCTGGTAAAAACGATCTCTTCTAACAGATGTGAGCGACCTGAAGATAATCAGAACCAGACTTTAAAATGTCCTGCACATGTGCCCCGCTTCTCTTCGGCTTCCCTGCCCTGTGTATCTGAGGCTTTGGGCCTCGGGGCCTTATCAGTGTGAAATTAGTCCCCAGTGCAAAGCAGCCAGTTTCCCGAGGGACCCTTGGCAGAGCTGGGAGCTCTGTGTGCTTTGCATTTGGAGGACTCGTTCAGCTCTGCCGTGTTTCCTCGTCACTGTCTGTTTCGTACAGCCTTACTGCACACTTACACTCACATGAGGACGCAGCAGTGCCCCGGCATGAGGATTTGAGGACTGTCAGGCACTGACTCATGATTCCAGGATTTAAAATTTTTCATTAGAAATGTACCAAATATTCCTATTTCTTTACTCTTTGATTCTACTTGAGAAGAATATTAGAGAAATACTGACCAAAGGTCAAAGATTTAGGTACATTGGAACAACGGCGGAGTGTTATCTATAACAGTGAGAAACAGGAAATAGGCTCAAGATTGTTACATTATGCCAAATGAATTGGGAGTCATACAGTTTAGTGCACAAAGCAATGAGTGAAGAGAGCCATGCATAAGAATTCGGAAGTAAGGGCCGGGCGCAGTGGCTCTCGCCTGTAATCCCAGCACTTTGGGAAGCCAAGGTGGGTGGATCACTTGAGGTCAGGAGTTCGAGACCAGCCTGGCCAACATGGTGAAACATCGTCTCTACTAAAAATACAAAAATTAGCCGGGCGTGGTGGCGGGCACCTGTGGTCCCAGCTACTTGGGAGGCTGAGGCAGGAGAATTGCTTAAACATGGGAGGCGGAGCTTGCAGTGAGCCGAGATCGCGCCACTGCACTCCAGCCTAGGTGAAAGAGCGAGACTCTGTCTCAAAAAAAAAAAAATTCTGAAGTATGACTCTAATTTTGTAAGTATACTATGTATGTATAGAAATATAAAGATGTATAAATATTTATGTACCTACAATACATCTGTATTTATAGATGAATAAGTGTCTATATATGTATAGAAATAAGACAAAGGAAAAATATGCTATGATACTAATAAAAGTTCTGGTTGGTGGGACAGTGGGGATTTTTTTTTCTTTTTTATCATCTTATTTTCCAATTTTTCTACAATAAATGAAGGGAAATGGGAGTGTTTTAACTGACGCTTTTAGGTGAGCCAAACTATTAATTCAGGCCAGGTGCAGTGGCTCATGCCTGTAATCCCAGCACTTTGGGAGGCCAAGGCAGGTAGATCATGAGGTCAGGAGTTCAAGACCAGCCTGGCCAAGATGGTGAAACCTCGTCTCTACTAAAAATACAAAAATTAGCTGGGTGCAGTGGCGGGTGCCTGTAATCCCAGCTACTCTGGAGGCTGAGGCTGGAGAATCACTTGAACTTCGGAGGCAGAGCTTACAATGAGCTGAGATTACGCCATTGCACCCCAGCCTGGGTGACAGAGCAAGACTCCGTCTCAAAAAAAAAAAAAAATCAAATAAAAAGCCTATCATTGATGACAGTTAATTAGTTAATTTTGACATGTCTTGAAGGGGCGTATCCTTTTTAGGTATTGAGTGCATGAGTACTCGGGCTTTTTTTTTTTCTCTCTTTGACATGGAATTGCCCAGGCTGGAGTGCAATAGTGTTATCTCGGCTCACTACAACCTTCGCCTTCCGGGTTCAAACCATTCTCCTGCCTCATCCTCCCAAGTAGCTAGGATTACTACTTGTGGGTGGCATGTACGACCACACCTGGCTAATTTTTGTATTTTTGGTAGAGATGGGGTTTCACCATTTTGGCCAGGCTGATCTCAAACTCCTGATCTCAAATGACCCACCTACCTCAGCCTCCCAAAGTACTGGGATTACAGGCATGAGCCACCGCGCCTGGCCGCTCAGGTTTTTATTACAGCCTAGTGTGTCTTGCACATTTAATTCTGCTGTTTGCTTTTTTAGATTATGCTTTTTAGGTTACAGAGGAGTAGAGTCTGGGAGCCTGGCCAGTGCTTGCCAGGTCATACCATCTTCCTTTGAGGGAGGAAGGGCTGGCCTTGCCTCTGTTTTTCTATCTAGGTCTTGTTGCGTTTCCATGTCACTCCGGTGACCTGAACTCCTGCCTCTCTGGAGAAGTGGTTCCTGGTTGCAGCAAGTGTCTGCCTGAGGCCCCTGGCAGGGGTGATATGAGGGTCCTAAGGGAGATTTCAGAGCCAGTGATCTGGACTGAATGTTGAAATGGCCCAAAGCAGTTTCCAGCAATTTTGGATAGTTCTGAAAACCAAAACGACTTCCTTTAAATTCCAGAACGGACTTTCACAGATGATGTGGAGAGCAAAAGGAGCCTAACAGTGAGGATTAACTGGGGCTTACCTTCCTCTAAGCGGGTTCTTTCTTTGTGCCTCTTTTGGGGCTTCGGCCTGTGTTCACATCACCTTACCTGTTATCCACCTGCAGCTTACAAAAAAAAAAAGCAAATAAATTATGTATAGTTTTTAAGAATTGGAGTCAGCCAAGCTGTAGCCTGGAGCTTTTACCCTACTGAATATTGTTCATAATATCCTACTGAATCATATTCATTTCTGGTTGGAGGGTAATGAGGGAGTTAGTATGTTGGTGCATGGTCTGATTCTGGGCACAATAGTATGAGCTAAATTTGAATAAATTTAAAGTATTGAGTGAAATCTTTAAACAGCAGTAGAAAAAAATAGAGCACCCTTTTGGGGTCCTTTCATCCCTACCTGCAAGGCACCAGGGGTGCCAGTTCCTACTGGTTTGTCATCATCTCTGTGGCGCATAGGAACTTGACCTGCCATTTTCATGTTCCTTGACATCCAGGCTGAAGACTCCACCCAAACTCGCTTTGCACTTCATTGGCACTTTTGATTTTTGGGTTTACTGAGAGGCTCTTCAGCTTTGGGGAACTTTTTCAAAAACGTCAAAAGAGCAATTACTTGCAGCAGCTGAAAAAATAGGAGTGATGTCTTCACTATTTGTCTTTGGGAAAAGGTGCCGCAGTTTCTCACAGAAGATGACTATCCCCTCGTGTATCCACTTGAAGCTGTGCCCCATCGAAACCTAAATTTCATGTGGCCACAGGTCTGGGACGGCCGCCAGGCAGCCTGTGTGGCCCTCGGTCCTGCCAGGGCTCTCTGTGGCACCTTCTCCTTCCCTTCCCCGAGTCTGGAGAGGGAGGTGAGTGAGCTTCTCCACTTCCCACTCCCTGTTAGAGCTAGAAATCCATGCTAACCTTTCTCTTTTAAGAATTAATAAATCCAGTGAATAATTGGCTCCGTTGAATTGGCCTGTTTTCAGTGTTCTCATGTGACCTCTGTGAAGAGCTGTCTTAGAACAGTCTTGGAAATTTCATCGTGCTCCGAGTGAGAGCCTGCAGCCACGCCATTTGCTCGCATTCACTCATGTCTTCACGCAGCCCTTCCGCCGGTGTGCGTTTGTTAGCTTATGCAGTTTCTTTTGGGCAGGCTCTTTTTTTAAAATGATAACCTCATTCATTTTCTAAGAAACCGTCATGTACAAGTTACTTTAACTCTTGAGTTGCATCACTGGGAGCCATCACTTTCTGCTGCAGCTGCCAAACCAAACCTAAGGTCTGGACTTTGGGGTGCTCTGTACCTAATTCTTCATGTTGCGGGGGTTGGGGAGAGAAATGCTCAGCTTCTTTCCTTAGCCTCTTTTTTTTTTTTTTTTTTTTAAATGAGACAGAGTCTCTCTCTGTCACCCAGGCTGGAGTGCCATGGTGCGATCTCAGCTCACTACAACCTCCACCTCCCAGGTTTAAGCGATTCTCCTGCCTCAGCCTCCTGCATGGCTAGGGAATACAGGCGTGCACTACCACGCCTGGCTAAACATTTTTTTTCTGTATTTTCAGTAGAGATGAGGTTTCACCATGTTGGCCAGGCTGGTCTTGAACTCCTAACCTCAGGTGATCCACCTGCCTCGGCCTCTCAAAGTCCTGGGATTACAAGTGTGAGGCACCGCGCCCGGCCTCTTTCCTTAGCCTCTAAAACCACAAATGTTTTCAGGAGCCCTTCAGTTGGGAGCAGCTGCATCTAGGACCTCTGACTTCTTCAGTGTTCTCGGGTGGCTTGGCCCGTGTCACACTTGCCACCGCCTCTTGACCCTCAGAGCCTCAGATCTGGGTGGCTGTTCCATTGCTTCTGGGCGTTAACTTTTGGCTACTGCTGTTGTCTCCAAAGTCCATCAGGAGAGGAGTCCCAGAAGGTTGTCTCTAAATGTTTCTTGGTAAAATGCTGTTTCTCTCCAGTCTTTTAAAATATTAGTGATCCTTTGAAATTCCAGATATCTTCCCACTTGTCTCACTAGCTGACCTGGATCTTTTGGCTCAGTGCTCTGTTGGGATCTCTGAAAATGAAACAATTGATTCAAACACTCCTCCTTGAAGAGCGCGGCAGCAGCATCGGGCGAGGGGCCCCTCCAGATTGGAAGTGGTTTTTCTGACTCTTCTTTTGGTTTCGTTTTCTGAAAGTTGTTATTGACCTGAAAGTGTAGCGTCATAAACTGGGGAAGGAGAGAAGAGAGGCAGGAGGAGAATCGTGGAGTGCGGAGGCAGGTGGCCCGTGGGGTGTCTCCTGTGCTTGGCGGCGCTGGAAACCGCTTAGGTGCCAGAGCTTTTTCTGTGACCAGATTCTGGCTTTTGAAATAACCCAGTAACAGTTCTCTGTCTTTTCATTCTGCCTGCTCCTCCCACAGCCTGGTTCCTCAGAGGGAAGGAAGGAGAACGAGTGCTTTGCAGCACGTGCCCCTGGCGGCATCATGGTACTTTCCTGGCCCTGCTGCCTCTCTGCCCGTCCGTCTGTTATGATTTTTATTTACTTGTATTGGTTTTTATAAATTTCTATTTTTTGCAGAACTGAACCTTTTTCTGCCCTGCCTTTCTCCTGTTTGTCTTTCCTTTGTGGTTGATATTGTGTTGTCTTCTCCAAAGTATTTGTCATTAGAAACTCACAGCAAGCGTATACTTTTTAGCATGTCAGCACTTTTATTATGTTGCCCTCCTTGTCTTTGATAACTGCCTCTGGACGCTGTGGAAACTTCACGGTAAAAATCCTTTTTTTTCCCCGTAGTCTCTCCATTTCAAGGACTAAAACAGTCTTGCGTTAAGTAAAAACCTGTGACCAGAGCTGAAGGAAGACTCTAAGAACTGAAAACTGCAGCAGAAATTAGCACAATTTGAAAACAAAACAAAATTGCAAAAGCCTTAGTTGCTTTCCACCTAAGAAGTTGATCAATGGAGAAAGTGTCCGCTGGAGTTTCAATAATGAACTTTGAGTTTGGGTGCAAGCGAATGACTCAGAGAAGGGCCCAGCTCTCAAGCTGAACGACAAAAATGCTGTTGTAAATTTAGTCTCAGGTGTAAATACCCAAGCCCTCTGGTTCCCAGGGAGCTGGCTGCTCTGTGGTGCACGTGTGTCTCTGTGATGGCAATCATTGTAGTTGCTGGCCTTCAGAAGAATTGAGGATCTGATGGAGGTTTTTTATGTATTTATTTTCTGTTCACCTTGTGACCCTGTGTCAAAATTTATAAAGATACAAAAGGCATTACTGAGATGGTACTTTCTGTAATTTGATACTATTTGGCTTAATCATCTTCACCTATTTGTAATACTGTTGTAATGTTAACTGTTAAGTACCCAAGCTGCTTGTCTTCCACCAAAGAGTGCTTTATTAACAAGAATCTGTGAAAACCACATTTAAATACTGTTGCACGTTGTAAGACCAGGTGGTATCTTGGTAACCTAAAACTTGCAAGAGAATATTAATGGTAGCTTTAGAAGACTCAGGAGGAGAAACTGACTTCAGAGCTGGAAGATGTTGCAAGTCATTGCTTTTTCTGTCCTTTAGGGACTGAAGAACTGGGACGTTGCCCATTGTTTGGTTGCCAGTCATACAAATTAAAATCATATTTCCTTCCTTGCATGGAAGAAACACACTGTCAGTTATTCCCCTTGGAAACAGCAATCCCAAATAATGTCGGCTTAAAAAAAGTTACCGCTTTTTTAGAGTCCTTCTCTGTAACATTGGATTTTTTTTTTTTCCTTATGAGATCAGCCTAAGGCCATTGACGCGGCCTGCGATCTCAGTGACGATGATCTGCTTCTGGATCTCACTGTTGCCTTTGGTTAGGGAACACAACCAGTAACTCTGCAGAGCGCCTTCTCCCCCACCCTACTGGAACACAGCAGAGTCAGTGCCATGAAGCAGTCACAGAAACAGAATTGATTTGCTGCTTAAAAAAAAAAGGGGGGCGGGGCCCAAAATAAAAGAATATTTAGTACTCACCTCAGTTCCTTCCACAAGCAGTGGGTAGTTTAATGATTGTTAACCCATTTTTGCCTGTGCTGGGAGCACGGAGGGCCGAGATGTTGACAGCAGTAAGAAGCAAACGCTCTCCTAAGCCACAAGGCGTGCGCCAGGTCTAGTAGGCAACTCCATTTTACGAAGCTGCCTTTTTCACAAAACTTCAAGAAATTAAAGCAGTTGGAAGAAACAAGTTAAAGTCTTTAATGCAGAAAGGAATGGAAAGGCAGTGCCTCCATTTTGGTGCACTTTCTTGGAAGAAAGTGTGAAAATAACCGGCATCAGGAGAGACGGAAGATGCCGTGTTCTCAGCCAAACAAGCGACTCTTTCCCCGCCAGGCACTATGGGGTGGGGTCAGGCCAGCTTCTAAACACTGGGGACTGGATCACAGAAAAACAGTGGCTTTCTGTCCCTGGAAATGAATAGGCACAAAGACCCACTTGGCTGTGGGAAGACCACTCTTCAATAAGATGTGGGTGGGAGGAGGTACATTCCTTTTGCTGTTTTGAGCTGAGACAATATAAATATTCAAACTGTGCCATGCATAAAGCATTGAATTCTCAGGGCACCTCTTCTTCCCCTTACCCTTTTTAAGGCCATCCGCTCCATAAATAATAATCCAGGTAGTTGTGAAAATCGCGCTTCCATCTGATCCCTTCTTAGTTTGGCTTTTCGTCCCACCAGAACAAGTAAATGTAGGCGCCACAGCTCTTGTGAGTACTGTCTCCCTCACGGCGGACGCGCCTCCTGGTGTTTCGTCCAAGAAAAGGAAGGGTGTCCGCGGAACCACAGTCCTTTTTCATTTTATAAACTGCGTCTTCATGTTGCCTGCTCAAGTTTCCACCTATAATTGCTATCACTGTGGCTGTTTCTAAAAATCCTTCTATTTAACTGGTTCACTGAAATTAGTCATAGAAAACTTGTGATTTGGTGAAGAAGCATTCCTTGTAATAACCAAATGACTCGGGAAGGTGTGCATAGCAAGTGTTACACTTATGGGGACTGTCTCTAGAATCCAGGAAGTGTCGGTCTGAGGGATGGAAAGTTCTTCCTGCTATGAATGAGAGTGGATGCTTCCCCTCATCCCCAACTGAAACCACAAACACCTAGAATCTTCTGGGATTCTGACTTAGAGTCCTTGTTACAGAAGACCTTGTTGCTATGGAACATGAAACTGTGTCTGTCTGATGGAGAGATTCCCTTAACTTAAGAGCCTTAAATAGCCCTGAAAGTACACCGGGACAGTTTGCAATGGAATTAAAATTAGAAGTGCATATTTTTAGGTGCCCTTGAAGCTTTCTGGGGACTCAAAATTATCAAGAGTCAGGGACGGTCCGGAGGAAGAGCATCTGCAAAACTGGGTTCCTAGAAGTACGGACGGACTTGGCTTTTTATAGAACTTGGTGGGGAGCAGCGCCTCGCGAGAGCAGAATGGCCTGGCGTGGCCAGAGCTTCCCGGCAGCACACGGCAGGGCTCTGCCGGCCTCAGAACTCCCCCGTTCTGAGCTTGATGCCCCGAGCCTGCCCCCTACCTCCTTCCTCCCCTCCCCTCCAGCCCTCTCACAGGGTGATTGCTACCTCTCTCTTGGGCCTAGGCAAGTTTTAGAGGAGTTCCCAAGCATTGTCATGAGGCCAGTGTGCCCACTGGCCCGATGGCCTGGGCTTGTGCGTGGCCCGAGGACTGTCCCGAGGCTTTCCCTTTTCCCGTCACCGTCGAGCCACAGAGGCAGTGCACTCATTGGATGTCTGTTCTTAACATGGCTTCTCTTTCTACATTAAAAAAAAGAATCATTATTGCATTTTGGAAAGCAGTGCTCATCAAAAGCAACTTTTAAAACCTATTTTATTGTTCCTTGAAATGTTCTCTCCCGCTGAAACTGCCCTGGAAAGGCTGCTGCTGCCCTTCCGTTTCCCCACATCAGGGTATTCTCCACGTCACTGAGCGGAGACGACTCCAGATGTGTTTAAAGACTGGACAATTCACCTATACTGTGTAGGAAATTACCTCCTTAATTACCTGGTAGAATTGTCAGCAGACATGTTCATCCAATGAGAGTACTGCAGTTTTCTATTAATAATTTGCAGACTTTTATCTAACCTGCACTCATGTACAGATTATTAAAAGTTTTAAAACGTAACTGATCAGTAGTGATCAATCATTGTCTTGATTTTTTTTTTACAGTGTATATTTCTAATCATATTTTTTAAAGCCAAGAGAACTGGTTGAATGAATGTTTATTTCCTGAAGGTATTTTTAAGATAAAGCTTCCTAATGGCCTGTAAACTTTGCATATGTGTGTAGTTTGATACATATTGTCACATTGGAAAATCTTGTGAGTTGTAACTGGTTTTATACAAAATATCGAATAGTGGAAATTGTATAATTACAATCATGTAATTAAAAGTATTAACCCAACAGCCTTTTTGTTCACTGTGTTACTTACCAGGCATTTTGAATTCTGGTAGGCAGTGGGTTAGAACATAAAGCAGAGGTAACCCGGCATCTGTGTAAGTCTTCTAGGACGCCCATAATGGAATACCCCAGACTGGATGGCTGACATAGAAGTTCGTTTCCTCACAGTTCTGGAGACTGCATGGGTAATGGTGTAAACACTTAAAAAGAGGTCACATAAACTGTTTTGCCTTGAAGTGGGGACCCACGCATTGAAGGTAAGTCTCGAGAATCGTTCAAAGGCAAACCTGGGCCATGGGAGAGGAGATTGAAGGGCCCCTGCCCGCGGCCTCTCAGTGAACTGAAATGCAAGTTGCTGTGGAAAGAGCAAGTCCCATTGGGCGGATCTTGCCCCAGCTCCGCCACTTCTGCGGCCTTGCGGACCCTTGATCTACTGGCCGAGCCTCACTTTGTTCAGTGTTTCAGTGGGACTAGCGAGCGCCTAGCGTTTGATTTAACAGAAGCACAGGGCTGTGCCTTAGCTGGGGGAGCGTGACACCCACTCTGCTGTCTCCCTCCTCCGTGTGTCTAAGTGCAGCTGTGGGCGCATTGGAAAGGAGCATCTAGGGAGGAATTCTCCAAGAGCACGACCTTTAGCTCTTCTGTAGTGTACCCTGACTAGCTGTCACGCATTCCCGGCTGTCGGCCACGCACCGCGTCCCTGTTCTACAGAAATTCTTCCTGGGCGATGCTGGCTATTTCCTTAGGATAAATTCTTACAAAGGGGATTTCTGGGTCAGAAATTTGTAAGATGTTAAAGCTCTTGCTGCACACTGTGAAAAAGCAAAAAGCGGCTTGGGTAGAATTGTTAAGAGCGTGCATTCTGGGCCCAGGCTGTTTGCAAACCTGAGCGCTGCCACTTAGATTTGGGCGGAGTGATTTAGGCTCCCTAAACCCGTTCCTTCTCTGAAGTGGGGATGGCAGTATCCATCTCGCAGGGTTGTGTGAGGATGAAATGAGTAGTTAGTATTTTTCGTAGCTGAGAACAAGTGTCTGGCACACGCTAAGAGCCATATATATTGTGCCTGATAACAAAAATGTTGTCCAGGAGAAGTGAAAATGCAGAGTCGCCGCTGCCCGCTCCTCTCCCGTTAGCCGCTGTTGTGACGCGGGTGAGTTGTTCAGGTCATCGCAGGACGCTGGCCTCAGCGCCGTGGGTCGCGCTCACTGTCCTGCTGCGTGTCGTCCTGGCTTCAGCTTTTCCACATTGATTTTGGGCATTTTGTCTTCCAAGCGGTTGGCACAGGCTGCCCTTCCGTCCTCGCCTCACCGTCTCTATCCGTTTACTGGGGGAGCAATGGGTCCCCCTGAGCAAAGCCTTCTGGGTTCCTCCCCAGCATCTCGGGGGTCCCTGGCCCGCGTGGGAGTGGGGGGCCTCCCGCCTCTAACCCCGCCTGACCCTGGGGGCAGGTCTGCCTGGCTCTGCCGCCTTCGGGACGAGCGTGCTCTGTCCACACCGAAATCCCGGGGGAGGGGGCCCCGGCCGGCCGCGGAGGCTCTGCGGGGCCGCGTCTGTTTCTAAAGGGGGAAGGACTCGGCGCGGGAGGGCGGCCGCGTGCTTTGTGAGCTGTGGGACTGGGAGGACAGTGGCTTCTCCTGGCCCTGGGTGTGTCTCTGTATTAACCAAGATGTCTTTTCAGGCGGGGCCGCTCTCCCGGGCGCGGGACTCCGGGGAACGCAGCGTGTCTGGGGTCCCCGCACCTGCCTACTCGGTGCCAGCGGACAGTCCGGGCCCCACGCGTTTCCCCGGCCCGGGCTGCTGCTGCCCCCACGGGAACGGCTCACTGGCTTCCAGGGCCGCTTGTCCTGCCCAGCACACGGGACAGAGGAGCCGCCACGCTGCTCTCTCTCGGGCCGGAGGGCAGAGGAAGGAGCTGGAGGAAGGGGCTTCTCGGAGCCAGAGCGCGAGACGGGGCCCCCGGGAGCGGGTCCGCCGCGCCTCCTCCAGCGGGGACTTCAGGGTGGCCTGGGCGGTGGAGCCAGCGGGGTCCCCGGTGCCTGCGCCTGCAGTGCGGGGTCAGCCGGGACCCAGGCGGAGCGAGGCGCACGGAGCGCCCTGGCAGCCCCGCGGTTGGCATGTCCTCGAGCCGCCGCTGAGTGTCCGCTCAGCACTCACTGGCCAGGCTGGAGGGTGACGGCTCGCGGCCGTTCTGGGCCCCAACCCAAGTGTGCCTTGCGTTTGAGATTTAGCGGCCAAGGTAACTAGTCCTTGCCGTCCACACAAACTCAAGCCCTGAGACTGGCCCTGTGGCGGTGGTAAGTACAGCCCTGTGCATCTCCTCCCTTTTCCAGCGATGGTTGGCTGTCCCAGGCTGTCACCTTTCTAGACCGGCTTCTCATCTGGCTGGGGATCCACAGGGACTAGACCTGCGGGGAAGGGCTCCCCTGGACACGCCCATTGCCCACCGCAAGTTCTCTCCGGTGCAGTTGAGGCCTCGCAGCAGGTGTGTCTGCCTCGTTTTTCTCTGGGGATTGAGCCATCAGCCCAAGGCCTTCCTGTAGGGGGGCCTGGGCGTGACTGAGTTGGGAATGGCCAGGCTGACACTGCCCTGGTTTGGTAGCAGGCCCGTTCCAGGCGCAGAGGGCAGTGCTGCTGACACGTTCTTAGGCTGGGAGCCCCTGTGAGATGATCTCATCGAAGCTGAGGCCCCTCCATCTCCCCAGAAAAGTTTGCACCAAATTTTTGAAGGCTGCATCGACAGGTCAACTTACTGGCTTGCTGGCTGTCGCCACACACCCCAGGTGTGCTGTTTGTACAGATGCTGTGTGGAGGGCGCCCCCGGAGGTGTGCAGTGAAGGCAGGGTCTATTCATCACTCAGCAGCACCCCCGCAGCCTCACCCTGCCAGGGAGCCTCCGTAAAAATTCCCGGGGCATCTTTCTACCTTGGTCACAGCGACCCGCTTCCCCAAGCATGTCCCTCATAGGCCACATGGCGTTCCCATTTCTCCTGCTTTCTTTCTATCCACCTTCCCTCTTCCTGAAAACTTCCCCAGCATCACCGCTGGCTCCACCTCCATCCTCTCACCAGCAAAACATGCAAGTTGTGGTCAGTTCACTTAGAACTTGCCTCGGATACTTTTGTTTTCCTCACTGTTGCTCTGGTGCAAGACCAGTGGCCGGTATCCATGTGGGCCGCCAGGACAGTTGTGCAGGTTGTTCATCGCACAACTCGAGTGCCAGGCACACTGAAGTCAATGTGAGTCAGCTCCTGGGGGTTGGGCAGCACACAACATGGGTGCCCAGATAGGGCAGCCTTGCTGGAGGTGCCGTCAGTCCCTTTGCAGGGTGGTGGTTCTTGGGGAGAAATGTCTTACCCTACCTCAGTGTCTGAGAACATTTGAGACTCTCAGAAGCCCCGTGGGGTTCACGTACAAGTTGATGCCACACGACAGGCACTCCTTACCTTACAAATGGCTTTGAGCTCCCAAAGTTATGTAATTCCGCCCTCTGGGATCGGGCACAGGTTTGTAAAGAAACACTGCTCAGGCCAGGTGCGGTGGCTCACGCCTGTAATCCCAGCACTTTGGGAGGCTGAGGCAAGTGGAACATGAGGTCAGGAGATTGAGACCATTCTGGCTAACACTGTGAAACCCCGTCTCTACTAAAAATACAAACAATTAGCCGGGCGTGGTGGCGGGCACCTGTAGTCCCAGCTACTTGGGAGGCTGAGGCAGGACAATGACGTGAACCCGGGAGGGAGGAAGGGAAAGAGAAAGAAAGAAAAGGAAGGAAGGAAGGGGCCAGGCGTGGTGGCTCAAGCCTGTAATCCCAGCACTTTGGGAGGCCAAGACAGGCGGATCACGAGGTCAGGAGATTGAGACCATCCTGGCTAACACGGTGAAACCCCGTCTCTACTAAAAAAAAATACAAAACAACTAGCCGGGCGAGGTGGCGGGCACCTGTAGTCCCAGCTACTTGGGAGACTGAGGCAGGAGAATGGCGTGAACCTGGGAGGCAGAGCATGCAGTGAGCTGAGATCCACTGTGAAAAGGAAGGGAAGGAAAGGAAGAAAGAAACAGTGCTCAGACGGCAGTGGTTCCCTGCTGCTCTCCCCACAGAGGCCTGATTGGCCCAAGGTGTAGCTGTGAGGGGTGTGAGAACCTTTGCAATCTGGTTAGAGAAATTCTTGTCATCTGGAGTCCAAGGAAACTGTGGCCCAGGCAGAGGCTTTCCAGGAGCAACAGGAGATATGCAGAAAAGCTGGACTGGGCAAAGCAGGCAGGAGCCGCTAGGCCCTTAGGCCTAGGGAGCCAAGTTTTAGTCCCATCCCGTTTGCATGGAGAATACCTGAGGGGGGGCCCCTCTGCACTGCTGTGGTGTGCAGTACCCTGCTAGGCACCATGGCCATCTCCACATGGCTCGGAAAGTGACTGAGCACAGAGGCACACGGCAAACACTCCACGTCTCCTTTCATCCCCTGCTGAGGTACAGGTGTCCCTTTTCCTGTCCCCTCTCCTAACAGCTTTGCCCAAGGGACTGGTCCTTTCACTGGAAATTTCAGGAGTGTGTAGAAAGGACGTGGGGCTCAGGGACTGAATCTCGTTTCAGCTTCTACCTGCCCTAAATAGTAGCCAGGCAGCAAGGAAGACAGCGTCCTTGCCTGACTGTAAAATGACAAGGCATGACAAGACAGGACTCCCAGGCTCTCAAGCAAATGCTCTGCCCCTTCGGTCACCAGGCTTTGCCGTAGGTGCCGGGGGGAAGCGGGTGGGTTTGGTAACCAGGCTTTGCTGTAGGTGCCGGGGGGAAAGCGGGTGGGTTTGGTAACCAGGCTTTGCTGTAGGTGCCGGGGGGAAAGCGGGTGGGTTTGGTAACCAGGCTTTGCCTAGGTGCTGGGGGGAAGCGGGTGGGTTCGGTCACCATGCTTTGCTGTAGGTGCCGGGGGGAAGCGGGTGGGTTCGGTCACCAGGCTTTGCCGTAGGTGCCGGGGAAAGCGGGTGGGTGGAGGGGCATCCTTCGGAAGACTTTTCTTTCAAAAGGCAGCACTGTCCTGGAGGGGAGCACCTGGGGTCGTGGTGGGGAGTGACTGGGGACAGCAATGAGGTGGTGGGATGAGGTGGTGATCAGCATGGTCCACATGACCAGGCTTTGGAGGAAAACGTGGTTACAAGGCAGTTCTGCACTTTGAGAGATGAGGTTTTTCTCTGTCACCCAGGCTGGAGTGCAGTGGCATGATTGTAGCTCACTGTAGCCTCAAACTCCTGGGCGCAAGCCATCCTCCTGCCTCAACTTCTCGGCCCCTTCCCAGAGTAGCTATGACTACAGGTGTGTGCCACCCACCTAATTTTAAAATTTATGGTAGCGACATGGTCTTACTGTGTTGCTCAGGCTGGTCTTGAACTCCTGGCCTCAAGCAATCCTCCCACCTTAGCCTCCTAAAGTATTCCAGGCGTGGGCCACCATGCCCAGTCTAGTTTTGGACTTTTGTCTGTATCCTATTTGATAATAAAAAGGTTTTAAAATATTCCTGCATTTTTCCTTCCTCATTCCCTTCTCCACACCTCCTCATCCTCCACAACACAGGCCCCTGTGGGACACAGCCAGGCCAAAGCCTCCCATGCCCTCAGCCCACCCCAGGTTGTCTGAAGCAGCCATGAGTGTCGTGGGGGTTCAGGGAAGCTGTTCACATGGGCCATGATCCTTGCAGAAGGCGGAGAGGAGACAGCAGCAGCCAAAGGAAACGAGCAAATCTATCTTCCGCATCCACGGCACAGGCCGCAGCGTGGAGGGCAGGCAGGCCCAGTGCTGCTGAGAACAGGGCGGGCACAGGCAGCTCCCGTGCCGCCTTTCCCAGCTTCGGAGACACAGGCCCAGCTGCTCCAAAGCACCTGCCAGCACCGCGCAGTAGTTTCAGAGGATGGCAATGTCTTTCCTGTGAAGCTCGCGTGCGCTGGGATGGCGTGGACTCGCTGATAAGGAGATGGTCTGAAGTCTGACCAGCACAGGGAAGGAGGGTGGCTGGCTCAGAGGGGCCCGCCTTGTGTGGAATGCAAATGCCAAAGGCTCATGAGCAACATTAGGTTAGAGGGCTCTTGTTCAGAGCATCCAAATCTGACTTCGGAGGCATTCCCAGCCGGCAGCAGTGTGTCCAGCTGCCTCTCCCTGGACTTGTCTGACAGGCAGCTTAGGCTTTCATCCCAAGTCGAGTACTGATCCCCTCCCTCTCGGGCAGCACCTCCCTTTTTATTTTTTTTTTTCTTCCAAAGACAGTCTTTCACTCTTGTTGCCCACACTGGAGTGCAGTGGCATGATCTCGGCTCACTGCAACCTCCATCTCCTGGGTTCAAGCAATTCTCCTGCCTCAGCCTCCTGAGGAGCTGGGATTACAGGTGCCTGCCACCATGCCCGGCTCATTTCTGTATTTTTAGTAGAGACAGGGTTTCACCATGTTGGCCAGCCTGGTCTTGAACTCCTGACCTCAAGTGATCTGCCTGCCTTGGCCTCCCAAAGTGCTGGGATTACAGGCATGAGCCACCGTGCCCAGCCCAGCACCCCCATCTCTAGAGGATCTGGTCCCTCAGCCCAGTTACTGCAGGGCGGCTTTCCCCGCCTGGTGCCAGGCTGTGCGCAGCAGCTCCAGGACCTCCCCCTTAGCTAAGTCTTCAGGAGCTGCCCTGGCAGCACAACTCAGACATCCCTGAGGCCCAGCAGTCAACTCCTGGTTCAGACATGATCCAGTCCGGCCTGGGCCTGGCTAACCAACTCAAACTTGCTTGACTTCCACTTTTCAGAAGACTTGGGGACGACAACCCTCATGGGCGTCCTTCATGGGGTTAATCTGCTTGAGTCTAAGTCACCAGAAACGTGATGCCCAGGGTGTGCTGCCCCAGGACATGTCCATGCCCACGTCACAAGCTCCTCTGACGGAGAAGTCTGCCCGCGCCACTGTGGTCCAAAAGGTCCTGCCACCTCTGCATCTGACTGTCCCTACGGCATGCTGGTGACACCCGCTGCCCTTCGCTTCTGTCTTCCCTGGCTTCTCTGGGGCACCTGGGGCTACGTACAACCTGGCACAATCCAGAAAGAGCGCAAACAAAACCCCTACATCCGGGCACAGGACCAAGTCAGCAAGAGCTAGCCCTGGTAAGCAAACACTGCCCATTACAGGTTCAGAACATGCACCGGGTTCCCCAAAACCGTCTTCAACCACATGACTCAACAACTCTATGGGACAGGAACTGTCAGTGTTTTTGCAACTGCAACATTAAACCGAATGCTATGGGCTTTTCAAGTAGTATTCACAACACTGACGGAAAGTTTCTTCAAAGCGAGCTCTGGCTAATCTTCAAAGCCACGGTTAGGCAAAATGACAGTGTGACAGCTTCAAAGCCACTGAGTCATGACACAGCCCTGGTGTTGTAGCAGCTAGGTTCAGATTTTGGAAATCAGGGCGCTTGCATCCATTGCCTTTTCCAGGAAAAGGAAGAAAACACTCAGTTGATCAGCCTTAGTACTCAGATAATAATTTAATAAGAGTCCAAAAGTAGGCTGTCACCCAAAGCAAACATCCTTAACTGACCCTAACGTGTACGGATTCAGCTTTGATTATTCAACAAAATCCTGACTGACTACTGTGGCCTGAGAGTAACCAAAGGACTGTTTTCTCTACACAAAGTCAGGAGAGAATACCAACCTTTATCTGCACTTGGCTTCCAGTTCAAAGCCACCTTAGACAGGTGGCAAAGTGGGAAAAAGCACAGATCCTGGGACCGAGGTTCAGATTCCATCTCAAGCGAGCATATGAACTGTGTGACAACAGGCAGACAGTACCTGTGGTGTCTGTGAGAAAGCAGGGAGAGCAACACCCCAGCTTCTAGCAGCTCTACAGCTGCCTGGACCTGCAGGCCCTCCTAGGCCTCCTTCCTCCCCAGCACAGTGTGTGCTTTTGGGCCTGTGGCTCTGGGTCTAGCTCTGTTCAACGTGGGACTCCAGGTGAACTACTGAACCTCTGAGGTGTACCCCCAACCCCAAACTTTCACCAAAAGTCATAAAGAGGAACTCTAGAACTGGGGCCAGGACTGACTGAGAAAAACTGCTTATAGTGCTTAATAAATACTAGTTATTTACAACAGTGCCCAAGCCGAAGGCGGAGGCCTTTGCACACAGCTGCCGACCTCTGACTCTGGTTCTGCGGAAGAAAAGGAGGCGGTATTTGCTTTTGCCACGATCCCTTTCCATTTGACTGGCAGGTTAAATAACATGGTTTTTAAAGTCATATACTTAATATTCTTCCTAAAAACCACCCAAACACTAGCTGTGTGCGCACACACAGAAACCAGGAGGTAGTTTAAATCACAATTAAAAATCAACACTTTCTCTGATTCTGTGTCACAGAGTGATGGCCAGTGGCTACACAATAGCGATTTTTAAATGACTGGTTAAGTGAAAACCAGAAAGGAAAATATTCCAGGAGAGTAGATAACATTTACAAGTAAACAGTAAGTACAATTGTATTTTAATTTCTTGGTCTCTGAAAACTCAGCTGTGGCTACTTTCCACAAACAGTTCCGGTTCTATGTGTTTCCTCTAACGCTAAAGGCACAGCCTCCGGGAATCTGCTGCTTCCTAAGAGTCTCCATGGAGCCTGTTTGACAACCTCCTTTCCCTCCACGCTCGCGGAGGAGTCTATACTATCTCTTATGTACACAGTTGAAACATTATTCCTGAACTTCATTTGAAATTCCTTCAGTAAAAACAGTCACATTCTTCACCTGCTTGGGAAAGGGTCGCTCTCAAGCCTCTGGAGAAGCCCCTCTAACAGCCCAGCCCGAAAAAGTGCGACAAATTCACACAACATGGGAAAAGCAACATCTATTGTTCTCAGGGTCTGACTTTCTTGGCCCAGCCGGAAAAGTCTCCACAGGTGTGCAGTGCAGCTCCGCGGCGCCAGGATACGGGCGCTTTCAAGACAGCGCAGGGAAGTCTTCAGGGTCATCCGGGTTGGGGGCGACATCTTGCATCTAAAGAAGAAAAGACATACTTTGAAATCCACTGCCCCTTCATCCATTCCCAGTATCCCAGTGGGATAACAAGGGCCTGGCACCAACGCTGAGGGGCCTGCATTAGAGGCAGGATCCACAGTGGGAAGGGGAGAGACACAGGTCACCGCTAACCCAGGAGAGTACAGCTCCCCTCCCACACAGGCCTCCGGTCTCCTCGAAAAAGGAGCTGCCTCCCTTCCTATGTCCTGCAAGCTCTTACTGGGGGCTCTGCACGGGCATGTCCTTCATCGAGTAAATGGAACAGTTACTGCGTGCCAGGCACTGGAGGGAGGAGGGGGGCACAGACAGTGCCTGTCCTTGGGGAGCTCGTGGCGCTGGAGAAACTGACCATCGAGTCAGGAGCTTCACTAACACGTCCTGGGAGGGAGGGGCCACAGGAGGGCCGTCCAGTGCAATTTGATGGCAAAGTGGACACCAAGGTCAGGCAAGGTTTTGTGGGAAGACAAGGTTCTCCCTGGGATGAACCTCAATGGATAAGCAAAGGGAACAAGGACCTGGATTGGGAAACAGTGTGGCCTGATGGGGGCAGGGGTGGCCCTAAGGGCTCTTCTGAGGTGGGGGGTACACAGCTTGTGGAGGTGGGGACAGATGCCAGTGAAGAGGCGGGTGGCGCTGGGTCTCAGAGCGTTTCCCAGCACACGCCCCGGAGTGCTGCAGGGGCCAGAGCTCCGAGATAGGAAAGGAGTGAGGATGTGTTTCCTATCTCAGAATAGACCCTGTTTCCAGCCTGGCCCCAAATATACCCCCACCCCCACCCCCCAAAAAAATTGTTTTTGCTCCTGCTTAAGCAAAACCAAACCACAGATACCGCTTCCAGGGGCTGCTCCCTAGAGCGAGGGAACTGGGCAGCAAGAGGAGCACTGCCAAGACCAGCCACAGAGAAGGAGTCTGTGCCACAGGGCCTCAGGGCTGACTTCCAACGAATAAGTGTCCATGCCACATTAGGAAGCACCTACTACATGCCAGGCACTGCATGGCACTGCATAAACTGATAATGAGCAAAAGCAGCCGCTGACTAATAGCCACACCAGTGGGAATACAGTCACACACGGAGATCAGGCTTCAATGAAAAGAAACTCCTTTGCTCCGAGACCTTGACCGGTCTAGGAGATGTGATCAAAGAAACCTGTGAGGAAGTGAGGTTGGAAGGATGAACGGAGGCCAGCAGGCAGCGGCCAGGGGTAAGGAGCATGCTGTGTCGAGAGCTAGAAGCAGGCAGCCTTGGCTGAGGACGGTGTGAGGCCGGTGAGCTGGGGAGGGGTTGAGGAAGGTCCCCTCACAAAGGGCTTGAGATCTTAGGAAGGATTCTGTTCACTCTGACAGCATCACTTGAGCCCAAGGTATACAATCAGGCCACAGTAAGCAAGATGTCAGGCGCTCCAGTTCAGTCCCAAGCCTGGGGATCTTGTCTAATGCAGATGAGAGTGAGTTTTTCTCGGATCCCGGGAGTGCCTTCACAGCAGACCCTGGAAGCCAGGGCTACAGAATGGTCTCTAGCCAAGATGTCCATGATGCTACAACACCGTCCAAATCCCCAACATCAGGCCCACGCTGGCTACAGGAAAAGTCACTGCAGAAGCCGATGACCCTCTGAACTAGACCATCCTGGGCCCGGGACACTGTCCTGATTCACTTCCTTCAGCAAACCATTCGGGATTGATCATGCAGACACCTACCACCACTTCCGCTCTGGGTCCGTAGTTCTCTGCCCTCCTGATCCTTCCCCGGCCTCCCCGGGTGCCTCCTCTGGCTCCGCGCCCCGGACGAGGGAGGTTGCCAAAATTAATCTCCAGCTGGGATGTGATGTCATTGGTGGGTTTCCGGAAAACATGGGAATCGTCCTCATAGTCATCTTTTACCATCTGAAACACAGTCACAGCATCCAACATGCACAGGTCCACAGCCATCCCCACACTCATCTGGCTTAGTGGCTGCCATGTGCTGCACAGGAGCTAAAGCACCGTCAGGGGCCAGACAGAGCCACGCTCTGGAAGTGTCTCTGGCCCTGGGCTGCAGAGCTGGACACAGGAGGACGGCACCTGCTGTTCCAGTTCCAAGACAGTGAGTTCCGTGTGTCTACAGTCCCACATTCTTGCAATTACAATCTTAATCCAAACATCTTGGAACTTATGATTTCAAGTGGGACCAAATTTCTATCACCTGAGCAGGTTAAGATGTAAGATTCGGCATGACTGATAATAGCAAAAAATATACATGTTTTATATCTAAGTGTATTTTGCTGAGATAAAAAAGTTTTCATTTTTGCTTATTTTCTGTCTTATCTGTTCACAAATGCTTTGATAAATAAGGAAATATCTCCTTCCCAGAATAGAATTTAATAGAGAAATTCCTTTCAGCATGGGTGCTGACTCTAAATACCATGTGCTAGAAATCACATGATTTATAATAAACAATTCTCACTCAAAATATAGAGAAATTTTATAAAAACAACAGAGTATGGTTACCTGAGTGTTCTACCAACACTCAAAGTCAAGCTGCTTTTTAAGAACTGCTTTCATTAAAATTCTGTATCTTGTGACAACTATATTAATTAATTAAATCTGATCCAAATTTGATTTGGCTTCAACTCATAATAATGGATCACACACACAAACACACACACACACAAAAACCCACTTTAAGTAAAATAAAAACCTACAGAAAAGAAAATATGTCAGTGATCCCAGATGAGAATCTCCAAAGTGCCACAACATTAAACATTACTACAACCAGGAAATGGAACCAAGTTTCCACAAGCACATCCACACCTTCAGGCCATATGCTCATGGCAGCCTTCACGCTTAACCTTTGTGTCCCCTTTAAGGTCTCAGGTTAAAATAAAGCAGAGGCTTTAGGTAGTTGGATGCTTAGAGCTAAAAAGGTGAAGAAAAACAATCCAGGAGCACTGGCACTCTGTAAAAAGATAAACACACAAAAAATAGTAACAGGCAAAATAATCAACTCTTGCCTCGTTTGGCACTCAGCAGGGAAGACCTGGTAAGGTCTCCCTGGGGGCCCTGCTTTGAGCCGCCTCCCACTGCAGGAAGGGGCAGGAAGGGCCTCGGGAGAGTGGAGCAGGGAGTGGACACACAGTCTAAGGACATACAAAGGCTTGGGCTCCACTCGCAGCTCCAGCTGGCCCTGGCCAAAGTGCTTTAACTGCCCAGTGCCTTACACGGGGTTGTTACTAGGTCTGAACTTTGCTAGGTATTCTAGTGCTTTTGTCTCTTCAGGTGTCCAGAACAAAGTAAACTGATGAACCCAAGATCAGGCTTGTGTTGCTTTAAGAACAATTCCTAGCTAAAAGCTTCAATCCTTTAAGATTAACAAGGACCAAGATGTGTGCTTCACTGAGACCAAGCTCGATGACTCAGCTAACCCACTTGCTTCAAATATTCTGGGAGACCTCTGGAGCCAGGGAGGACGAATCTGGTGTGGATTAAGAAAGAGCAGCTTCTATTTTTACCTAACATGTCAGCTGCACATTTCAATCCTGACAGCACATTTGTTTTCGAGAAAATTTTACTTACAATGCCTAGAACAAAAAAAGAACAAAGGAAGTGGACAGGTAAAGAACCAACCCAGCTAGCTAATGGAATTAGAAAACACCTCCCAGAGATTGCCAAGGAAATAAAGCTCTGGCCACCTATGTCTACAAAAAGCCATTGCTTGTGGAACAGCTCAAAACTTACTAGTAAGGCCTCCTACAGCTTGGACTGACCAAAACAAGAGGATGGGAGAGAATCCTGTATCTTTTTTTTTTTTTTTTTTTTTTTTTGAGATGGAGTCTCACTCTGTCGCCCAGGCTGGAGTGCAGTGGCCGGATCTCGGCTTACTGCAAGCTCTGCCTCCCGGGTTCACACCATTCTCCTGCCTCAGCCTCCCGAGTAGCTGGTACTACAGGCGCCCGCCACCACGCCCGGCTATTTTTTGTATTTTAAGTAGAGACAGGGTTTCACCATGTTGGCCAGGAGGGTCTCAAACTCCTAACCTCAGGTGATCCACCCGCCTTGGCCTCCCAAGAACCCTGTATCTTAAATGACCCCCTAATCAAAGTATTTACTCAGAAAATGAAACTAACCAAAGTGTAAATGACAACTCTACAACAGGATAACATTCCTGAGATTCCACATGAAAATCAATGACTAATACCCCACAGAGAGGAAGAACCCGCTCACTCCCACTGCGACACCGCGATTGGTATCAAGCTGTGACGGAATGATCCAGATTCAAATCCCATAATGAGAATGCTTCAGTGGACCTTGCCTTAAGTTCAGTAACTTCAGTAGGGGACTCAATGACCCAGTGGCATCCCTGTCAACACATGCTGCTGGATGTTTCCCCAACACCTCTCCCTGCAAAACTGAAGCTTCTGAGAAGAGCCGGATGGAAGCCGAGAGCAATGAGGCCTCGCAACACGGAGGAGCTCCCTGCAACCCCCGCAGCGCACTGGCCGCTGTGGCCTGACCAAGCAGCCAGGCAGTTCGGGGCCTCATTTCCCGCCACCTCTGCAGTTAGGCAAGGGGCGCAACGCTGCTGAGCCAACACGGGAAAGGTGTCAGAAGAGCATGGAACCTCAACCACAGTTTAAAACGTCATCAACTACTCATAGTGAAATGCTCTCATCAAAAATCAGAGTTGAAAGTCAAGTAAACTAATCAGAGAAAACAGAGTGTAGTTATCCTTTGAATAACCTGGAACTGTACAAGACACAATCTGTAACTCTCGCTTGAGAAAAATGAAATACAAGGAACACACAGTATGTGTACAGTCCCAGCACAGCCCCAGGGGGAGTAGAAGATACACTGTTCCTCTAACTGCTCTGAGCTGCTCTCAATACATCAAGTTTCAATTCCTTTACTTAATGAACAGTAAAGATACAGGAAAATTAGGCATAGATCATCTCTGATTAGAAACAAAAGCACCAATTACTAATGTTTCATTTTCAAGATAGAAGTGGAAAGGTCCATTTCACTTCCAATAAGGTAAAAGTAAAGATTACCTCTACATACAAAATGTAATGCTTACATCATCTCTATATTTTGACTTGTGAATCACCACTGCTTTGGAAGGAACAGTGGATTCTGGTTTCCGGATGTTAAACTCAGGCTTTGGTCTGGTCTGTTCTTGAAGATTTTTCCACTCATCTAAAGTCATCTCTTGAACTTGGGTTTCTTCTTCTACCTCCAACTCAGGAATTCTATAAAGAGATGTATAATCGTAAAGAATAATTTTTGATGGCATAAAAATGTCTACTTTATTAAAGTTATAACCATTTATTCTACATATTTTTGTGGTACTGCATTTCAAATGCAAGTAAGGTAAGAAAATCTTTGACTCACAAGCTTCCATATTTCATTTTCAACATTTTATGTTATCACTGCCAACAGAAAATACTTCCTAGCTGTGTTCAAAGCAATCTTTGAAAAATGGGAACATCACCATCCTGATGACATTAACATTACACTTCACCACTCCATGACAGACAAAACGAGGTAATTATGGAAAACGAGCTGAAATAAAATACAGGAAACCATAAACAGAAGTTTTAAAGCAGTGGCTCATAAATGCATACTTTTGTAAACATCCTCTTTAATGAATTTTAAAAAGAAAACAAAAGACAGAAATATAGATCGAGAGAAAATAATTCAGAGTCCAGAAATAAACCCTCACATTTATGGTCCATTGATTTTTTTTTCCAACCGTGGTGCCAAAGACAATTCAATGGAGAATGAAAAGTATTTTCAACAAATGGTGCTGGGACAACTGGATATCCACACCAAAAGAAAGAAGCTAGACCTACCTCACACCATAAATACAAGAGCTAAAATAGAAAACGCTTAGCAGAAAACCGAGGCAGAAACCTTCTTAACCCTGGATTCCGCAATGGTTTCTTCCACATGACACCAAAAGCACAAGCAACAAAAGTACATACGTCGAACATCAGCAGACACTTTTGTACGACAAAGGACACCATCAAGAAAGTAAAAAGGCAGTCCACAAAATGGGAGAAAATATTTACAAATAATGTATCTCATAAGGGACTTGTATCTAGAATACATAAAGAATCCTTTATGAAGAGCCAGGCGTGGTGGCTCATGCCGATAGTCCTAGCTACTCGGGGCTGAGGTAGGAGGATTGCTTGAGGCCAGGTGTTCCAGGCTGCAGTGAGCTATGATTACATGTGTGAATGGCTGCTGTGTTCCGGCCTAGGCAACACAGTGAGACACTGTCTCTTTAAAAAAAAAAAAAAAAAAAAAAAAGAATGCTTTATGAATTCTAGATACAAGTTGTCTTTAATTGAGACAAATGAACACCCTCCCCTCAAAAAAGGCAAGGATCCGAATAAACATTTTTCCAGAGAAGATAAACAAATAGGCAGTAAGATGTTGCACATCATTAGCTATTAGAGAAAGACAAGTCAAAACCACAGAGCTGCACCATTCCACACCCAGTGGGATGGTTAGAATCAAAGACATTTTTTTTTTTTTTTTTTTAGGCGGAGTCTTGCTCTGTCGCCCAGGCTGGAGTGCAGTGGCACTATCTCGGCTCACTGCAAGCTCCGCCTCCTGGGTTCACGCCATTCTCCTGCCTCAGCCACCCGAGTAGCTGGGACTACAGGCGCCTGCCACCACGCCCGGCTAATTTTTTTGTATTTTTAGTAGAGATGGGGTTTCACCGTGTTAGCCAGGATGGTCTCGATCTCCTGACCTCGTGATCCACCCATCTCGGCCTCCCAAAGTGCTGGGATTACAGGCTTGAGCCACCACGCCCGGCCCAAAAAGACATTTGACAAGCGTTGGGGAGGACATGGAGTAACTGGAACCCACATACACTGCCAGTGGGAATGTGAAATGGTGTAGTCACTTTGGAAAGCAGTCTGGTGGTTCCGCAAAAATCTAAGCTGAGTTAGCCTCTGACCCAGAAATTTCACTCCTGGGTTTATACCCAAGAGAAATGAAAACATATATCCACATGCAAACTTAAACCCAAGTGTTCACTGCCGCGCTATTCATAATAGCCAAAAAGTGGACACAACCTAAATGTCTGTTAACTAATGAGTGGATAAACCAAATATGGCAGACTTTTTGGAATATTATCTGGCAATAAAAAGAAACAAAGTATTAATACACATTACAACCTGAACAAACCTTGAAAAAATGATGCAAGTGACATAAACCAGGCAGAAAAGACTTCTGTGTATGATTCCATTTACATGAACTATTCAGAGGAGCCAGGTTCACAGAGAGGAAGCAGATGAGTGGCGGCCAGGGCTGCAGGGAGGGAGGATAGGGGCTGATGCTGAATGGGCACGAGGTTTCCTTTTGGGATGATGACAGCGTTCTGGAGCCAGATCATGGTGATGGTTGCATAACACTCTGAATGTACTAAATGCCACTGAATTGTACACTTTAAAAGGATTAAATTGTAGATTTGAAAATCACCAAAAAATACGCCAAAAAAAAAAAGGAAATGAAGACTGGCACATGCTACAACATGTATGAAACTGAAAACCTGATGCTAACAGTTAAAATAAGCCAGGCACAAAAGGAACATTGAACGATTCCACTTAGATGAGGCACCTAGAATAGGCACATTCATAAGCACAAGTAAAACAGAGGTTACTACATGCTGAGGGGAAATGGGGAGTTAGTGCTGAATGGATGTAGAGTTTCTGTTTGTGACAAAATAGTTCTACAAGGCCGGGCGTGGTGGCTCACGCCTGTAATCCCAGCCCTTGGGAGGCCGAGGCGGGCGGATCACAAGGTCAGGAGTTCGAGACCAGCCTGGCCAATATGGTGAAACCCCATCTCTACTAAAAAATACCAAAAAAATTAGCCGGGCGTGGTGGTGGGTGCCTGTAGTCTCAGCTACTCGGGAGGCTAAGGCAGGAGAATCGCTTGAACCTGGGAGGCAGAGGCTGCAGTGAGCCAAGATCGCACCACTGCTCTCCAGCCTGGGCGACAGAGCAAGACTCTGTCTCAAAAAAAAAAAAAAAGTTCCAGAGATGGATGGTGGTGATGGTTACACACAATGTGAATGTTACTGAGGCCACTAAACTGTATATTTTCCACTAAATTGTATATATTAAAATGGTAAAAATGGCAATTTTTACGTTATTTATTTTTACTGCAATTTAAAAAAATAATGTAACATACCCCAAACCATTCATCCATGCATTCATTCGTTTATTCATTTATTTGTCTGAGACGGGGTTTCACTCTGTTGGCCAGGCTGGAGTGCAGTGGCATGATGATGGCTCACCATACGTTCAACCTCCTGAGTCCAAGGATCCTCCCACCTCAGCTTCCTGAGGGTAGATGGGACTGCAGGCATAAGCCATCAGGCCCAGCTAATTTTTGCAACAATTTTGTAGAGGTAGGGTCTTGCCATGTAGTCCAGGCTGGTCTTGAATTCCTGGCCTCAAGTGATCCTCCTGCCTCTGCCTCCTGAAGTGTTGGGATTACAGGTCTGAACAACCACACCTGGCCTATATACTTAGAGATTTGAGTGCTATAGTACGAGAATTATATCTTGAAGGTGTTTAAAGGAAAAAAACAGGCCAGGCGCGGTGGCTCACGCCTGTAATCCCAACACTTTGGGAGGCCAAGGCGGGTGGATCACAAGGTCAGGTGTTCGAGACCAGCCTAACATGTAGAAACCCCATCTCTACTAAAAATACAAAAATTAGCTGGGCATGGTGGTGCATGCCTGTAATCCCAGCTACTCAGGAGGCTGAGGCAGGAGAATCACTTGAACCCGGGAGGCGGAGGTTGCAGTGAGCCGAGATGGCGCCACTGTACTCCAGCCTGGGTGACAGAACGAGACTCTGTCTCCAAAAACAAATAAAAAAAAACAGTAGGTGGAGAGTGGGGAGAGAATCAAATCTGTATCTTCACTGAAGCGCTGATGTAATTTAAGGTTCTGTTATAGAAATACACAGATCAATGTTATGAAAAATATAAGCAAAATCAGTAGAGAAGCCTAACCACAGAGCATCCAAAAGAGACAAATTTGCAGTGACTTTACAATACCAGGCCGATGGCAGAAAAAACATCAAAGAAAAAGTAACATGAAGGAATATGAAGGAACTTTCTGGCGTGATTGATAATGTTCTGTATATTGACAGGAGTTTGGATTCCACAAGTACATAAATTTATCAAAACAGTGAATTACACTTAAGATTTATACATTTCACAGTATATACATTTTAAATCAGAAGAAGAAACTGTAAACAAATATTAAGTTCTATTTAGTGATATGCATGTTGAACTATTTAGGGGGAAGTATATAGATGTCTACAATTTATTATGAAATGTGTCAAAAAACATGGTGGATTAATGATGAATACTTACATAAAATGAAAATATAAGATATAAATGGTAGCATTTAGGTAGTGGTAAGTATAGATGTTCGCTATAAAATTCTTTAAACTTTGCTGTGTTTTAAAATTTTCAGAATAAAATGCTGGAAAAATACCAATATCAAAACAGAGATCTCAAATATATATTGGCAAAAATATTGAAAGATACTAAGATGCCAGAAAAGCAAATCAATGGAGCCACCCAAACCGATCCAGAAGAACTTGGTGAAAAACTCTAGTATAGCAGCTAAGAAAGGAATGAGGACTACCTCCATACATTGCCATGGAGCGCCTTCCAGAGCGAATGAGAAAAGCAAGGAGGGGTGTGCGGTACCTTGGAGACCACACAAATACATATGCATAGCACAGACGGAGATAGAGAGATTTTTTTTGTTGTTTGTTTTTGAGACAGGGTCTCACTCTGTCACCCAGGCTGGAGTGCAGTGGCGTGATCTCTGCTCACTGCAACCTCCACCTCCTGGGCTCAAGGGATCCTCTCACTTCAGCCCTCAGAGTAGCTGGAACTACTACAGGCATGCACCACCATACCCGGCTAATTTTTGTATTTTTTGTAGAGATGGGGTGGGGGAGGGTCTCACCGGTTGCCTAGGCTGGTTTCAAACTAAGCTCAAGCAATTCACCCACCTTGGCCTCCTACAGTGCTGGGATTACAGGCATGAGCCACCACACTGGGCCATTTTTTTTTTAATTGGAATGTAAGCCAGGAAAACAACAGGGATAAAAGCTATTTGAAAATATCATGTTTTGGTTGGGCATGGTGGCTCATGTCTGTAATCCCAGCACTTTGGGAGGCCGAGGCCAGTTGATCACTTGAG